CTTCCTAGGGAGGTGTTCCGGGCATGTCCCACCGGGAGGAGGCCCCGGGGAAGACCCAGGACACGCTGGAGGGACTATGTCTCTCGGCTGGCCTGGGAACGCCTCCGAATTCCCCCGGAGGAGCTGGAGGAAGTGTCTGGGGAGAGGGAGGTCTGGGCATCTTTGCTTAGACTGCTGCCCCCGCGACCCGGCCCCGGATAAGCGGAAGAAAATGGATGGATGGATGGATGGATATTATTTTGTAAAATGTGACGCTAGCGTTCCACGTGACAGACTTTCTACAATTTACATCCGGTACTACCCTGTTTTGCCTCCGACGTGTTTAGGAACCTTACTTGTTGTTCCGGGCCCGACCTCACAGTAGCAAATATGGCAGCAGAGGGAGACGTTGATTTGGACCTAGAAGCCGAGGAAAACTGCACTGGGAAACCAGCGGAAAAGCCTCGGAAACATGACAGCGGAGCCGCTGATTTGGAGAGGGTCACGGACTACGCGGAGGAGAAGGAAATTTCCAGCTCGGATTTAGAAACGGTGAGAGCTGCGGGCTAACATTAACATTAGCCGGGAAGCATGCGTCCAGTGCTGCCTTTTTTGTCAGTACATTCTTACCGATAACGTTACCAAACTTGTCTGACTTTAGCGTTTAATTTGTACGATTTTTTAAACTATCCCTCGCAAGCATTTGTCGTCCTTGAGTTTTGCTTTATTTCCACAAGCTAATGTCGGTGTTGCTTACAGGATAACTGTAGTAAACGATTAACTCTGTGGCTAAATGCCTCAGCTAGCTAGCTAGCTAAAGCTATACACGTTTTCTTGTTTGCTAAAGTGACAGTCTTGAACGTTTCAGTTTATATGACGAATAACAGAAAGTCAAGCCAGGATATAAGTGGGGGAAAATACTGTTTCAAGAAACAACATAATTTTCCAAAAGCATAACGTGATGCGGAAAGACAGAAACAATGTAGTATAGAAATAAGTGTACATTAACAAAAACAGTATGAAATAGATAATCATTAATCCAGTGATCAATAACACACAATTAAATGTGCCAAAGAATGGGAGAGCATTCATATAGAAACTCTATACGAGTTAAATGATGTTGACCCATTATTTGGGCCCCAAAGGGCGGGGTGTCAGCCCATGCTGTTTTATATCCCCATAATAAACACCCCAAAAAATAAGCAAAACCATTTTCCAGACCTAACCTGCTCCTAACACAGCAGCCCTGAACCCTGTCCTCCCCCAATGTTACAGCCAAACTTGGAGTTAAGCTGTATAGTATAGTCAGTTACAAAAAGTTATTTATGGGCTTTTCAGTTTCACTTTTCATTTAAACAAATTAATAATAATAATCAATGTGACTGTGGTACAAAATGATCTGGTTATTATTAGTGAGTTAGTTTTCATGTCAAAATGTCTTAGAATAATTCATAACTTATTCAGGAGCCTAATTTGACCACTTTTTTCACAGATATTAAAAATCTTTATACAGAAGTCTCCTGACCAAAATGTGTGTGCTCACAAATAAATTACAGGTAAAACTATTAAAGAAAATAATAAAAATACTAGGATTAACAAATTATAAATTGATACCAGTACCAAACAGTGTACTGTTCTATTATACAAAAATGGCAGAAATTTAACATTCAGACCAACAACTCTACCCTTATTTTGGATGTGTTTGAAAGACCACTGCTTCAGGAAAGGTGCCTCATTGCATCAGTGAAACAATAGGAGAAATCGCTGACTAATGGTGTTTCTGCTCTCAGGCTATGTCAGTGATTGGAGACAGAAGGTCGCGAGAACAGAAAGCCAAGCAGGAGAGGTAAGATCAGTGTGTGTTTCAAATCCTTGTTCTGCGGAGTTTACATCCCATGTCTTCCTGACAGAGATGGCAGATACAGTCTGAACACAAGGTTGTAAAATCTTGTTTGTTTTGCTTTCAGAGAGAAGGAGTTGGCCAAAGTCACCATCAAAAAGGAGGACGTAGAGCTGATTGTAAGTGTGTTCCTCAGTTGGTATTTTGTCAGGTGATGTTAATTAAAGACTACACTGCATGGCCAAAAGTATAGGGACACCAGAACACTAAACTCGTATGACATTGGAACATCTTTCCATCCCACAAGCAGTACTGGACTGGGACCAAGATGGAAATGTTATTAAAGTGTGACCCTCTGTATGTGGAATGTGTAGCTCTCCATAGATACCAAATGGCTGAAAGTGATAGTACTGCATTGTTGTGCTTCATTTATACTGCATCAGATGTAGTAGAGCTGCAGGTCAGAACTTTTAGAACAGGCTCAACAGCAACAGTGTCACTGACTTATTATAAGGCTGTGTTATTCTCATGTAGAATTTGGATTAGGCCAAAGTAATCTTTGGTTTTCACATTTGAGTCTGGCCTGGTGATGGGGAGAGGGAGAGTTGTTGGATTTTTTAATTCCCCTAAATATCACTTATCCAGAGAGCCCAAGGTAGTCAATTTTGGCTTCTCAGTTGTGGAGTTTTTACTAATCTAGAATCTGGTTATTTTTTCACATGGAATTTCCCAAAGGTTGCCTAGGGCTTAAGGTGTAAATTAGTCAGCTGCTAAAGAGCCTCCACTGGCTTAGGAAGGTTTTCCCTGGGAGCTTATAACCTAACTGTGAAGATTTTAGAGTATCTGCACGTTTTGAAAAGTTGCATTTATTTCTGGTCGTGGCTTGTCTGAAATGTCAGTGTATGCTGGAGCATTAAGATTCTTTTCATTATAACTTCTGGGTCCCAAGCCATGACAAGCAATGAAACCCATTATAAAGGGCTGTCCATATACTTTTGGCCACCCATTGTCATGATGCACATCCAGACTTTAAACAAGGGTTGTTCTGAATGCAGCTACACTTGGTAGTTAGTTTATTGGGTACATCTCCTGAAACTATCAGTGATATATGCAATGGTGATGTTCAGTTTGTGTTTGAGCTGTTGGTTCAAATCTGTGGTCACTTTTGGAGGGTGTACTACACCCTCCAGAGTGTTCATTGTTAATTCAACACCTCTGTGCAACCTCATCACCTTCATGAAGGATGATTTATTGGATCAGACTGATGTAATTTGAGCTAGGTGTCCCTAATAAACGGACAGCTGAAAGTGGACAATCAACCTGTGGGCTGGCTGCAGTTGAGTTTTACATTTCTAATGGCACAATTCAACATGCGCATTTTCTAATCAGTGTGTCAACTAAAGCACTTCCTGTGCATCACAGTTGAACCTGTTCATGGGCCTTAAACAGAACGCTTGGTTCATATTTGGATGTTTGTGTTGCAGATGTCAGAGATGGAGATTTCCAGGGCTGTGGCAGAGCGCAGTCTGAGGGAACACATGGGGAACGTGGTGGAGGCTCTGGTGGCTTTGACCAACTGAACAGCATTTACACACTGGACTGCTTCACTTTGTCTTTTAACCAGAGCTCCTCAGCAGGGAGACACTGAACTCTGTGGTCACTAGTGAAATCTTTAACCCAAATCCTGTTTTTTTTAAATAAATGTTGACAGTTTGGCTTTTTTGTCAATGATTACATGTCAAATAATTTCATTACCTATTAAAAATTTGCTTTTAATTCACAAACAATTCAAGTTATACCTGCACTTTCACAAACATGGAAAAAAGGGGGCGATACAGGAAATGAGTACAAGAACCTGCTGTTACAAACTGATAACCCACTGCTTTAAAACAGAGGTGTGAGTGTGATGTGGCTCAAATGCCACTAACCTGTTGGCCAAATAAAAGAATTAAACTAAAATTTTTTTTTTTTTAAGTCACTGTTCCACAGCAAAGGATGAGGCCAGTGATTTTCTTTGGTTTTATTTCCCACAGTGACTAACAGCAACAAAAATATGAATCCAGAGCCTGGTTTAGCTTATTGTGCTGTACGCATCTGTTGTCTGTGGTGAGCCACACTGCTGCACTGGGTGGCAGGGTTCCTCCTTTGGTCAAATGTGAAACTGTTTTCATCAAACTGAGACCAGCCATCACTTTTTACACTCTGATGTAAGAGTGTGTGTGAGCTCTGCTATGCCTGTTGATGCTATGTGCAGCGTGAGAAGCAGTAGTGTAGGCAGAGCAGAGATCAGCTGACTTTCATACTTCAGACACTGTAAGAAGTGACGGCCATTCTTGGTCTCCAGAGCAGTTTGCTGAAAACAGTCTCGCATTTTTCCTGAGGAAGAAACCTGTCACCTGGTGCAGTGGTGTAGCTCGCTGCTGTGTTTAAAATTTTGCTAAACCAGGTTCTGGATTCACACACATTGAGGTGAGTACACCATATTGAGTGTTGCTTTTAGTCTGTGTGGAAAATAACCAGGATGCAGAAGATCCTTTAAAGTGATAATCTGCATATTAACAAGATGAAAACAGTGGTGCACCGCCCTGCTGGTTCGACATTTCAAATGGATTCTATTTTCTGCTTTGCTTCCACAACATATATTCCAGGACAGAGTGTTGGTCTCTGAACTCTGCAGGCTACAGTTCCATTTCTGAACAGTCTCATTAAAGCTGACATCAGCTTCACTCTTCATGTCTTCCTCTTCTTGACCGTGGGCCGGTCGAACACGTCCCTCACGCCTGCTGCCTTCTGCTTGAAGAACTTTGTGTTCTGCGCGCTCTCCTGGGCCCAGGCCGAGTCGAACGATGTGGTGTCCTGGTCCACCAGGTGGGTGTACTTGGTGCGTCCAGACCGCCCAAAGTTTTTGACCTTTTTGACAAACCACAAACAGGTCAAATCAGAGTGAGTGAGTGACTTGGCTTTGATTCAAAGGGGATTTTTCTCCCAACAGCAGCACACAAGTGGAAAATGTTTACCATCAAACATGCATGTCCCACATTTTCCCACCATCATATAAAGAGACAAATTTCAAGTCTAAGATTAAATGATCACAGGTTGGTAACTGTGCTCATTGTGCTGAACAATGCAGACTACAACAGACAAAAATGAGTGGAAGCAGCTGACCTGCATGACTTTGGGTAAGATGGTTTTGTTGAAGTGGTCCTCCAGTGTTGGTGCGCTGAAGTCTCTCTTGTACACGTCCTCCTCCCTGTCCTGCAACAGAAAAGCACCACAGAGTATTTACTGTCTATATCACTGCATCTGCTCAAGCTTCATAAATAAACCTCTGGAACCAGATCTGTAGCGAGGGGAGTGTTTAACAGCTGTCGGTGTCTCTGGTGGGAAAACTAATGGAACTTTTCTTTTTAGCATTTGTGCACTCCATTGTCACTTAAGACATATACAGTGACATGGAAATATGTGCAACTGCTACCGTTGGCCAGCTCATATCAGTGGGCCTCTATTTTAAAAAGAACCATAGACTAAAACTGTGAGGACAAAGCTGTTTGAATAATAAGTAGGTACAAAAAATGTACTGTGGTATTGAACAAGAATGGCAGAAATCTAAGGTTCAGTAAAGCACAGCTACACTTCTCTTGGATGTGCCAATAAAGTTTGAGAGATGAGGTTAAATCAAGTTTGGATGAGCGCTGACAAATCTTTAAATTACAGTCAGCTGAAGTGATTCACGGGGACCAGGGGCAGTAGTTGCCAAACATCCTGAGACTAAACGTAGCTCCTACCAGGTAGAGATGTGTCAGGCCTGACTCCTAAATTTTTGGTTATTCACAAAGTATTTTAACAGAGTAGCTCCAGTGTATGAAACATGAAGTCATTCCTAGCAGTGGGAGTAATCACTACTACACCCTCGCATCTCAGCAGCTGGTGACTCCCAGTGGGAGATCAGAGCCTTTGTGAATATGCTCCCTGGCATATCCGACAGACCAAACCACAGCCAGTTCATCTCTGGTGTGACTTACCATGAAGAAGGCTCCTCTGTGGTAGTACTTCTGGAGGAACTTGTATTTGCCTTTGGTGGCTTTGTTGGTGACGACCTTGCCGCTGTTGCGGAGCTCCGCCCTACGCTCCTCCTCCGTCATGCTGTGGAATCTGTCGATGTCAGCCTTCTCCTTCTCCATGCTGCAGATCAACACCACTTGTTACCTCCCTCAGCCACAACTACAATGCCGTGTTTACTGGAAGATGCTAAATATGTCAGCCGCATTTCATCCAGAACTCAAATTAGGTGGTTATGTTAGTGGCTACTCACACTTCTCGGGCCTCTCTGTCTCTCTTGATGCGCTTCAGCTCTCTGACTTTCCAGGCTTCATATTCTTCCTCCTCGTTCTCTCCATCAGTGTCCAGGGCATCCAGGGCGGCCAGTGTGCGCCGGTTCTCCTCAAACTCCTTCTTCGCCTCCTCCTCCACAATCTTGAGGGTATAGCGCCGTCGCTCCTCTGCCTGCCTCTTGGCCTCGGCCTCCAGCTCCCTCTGCCTCTGCTCCTCAGCTTCGCGCTCGGCCACAGTGACTCTGTCCTTTCTGTGGAGCAACACATGGAGAAGCTACAGATTACAAAGACGTCTCCATGTTGTTGCCTTCTATCCATGGCTGTAGTGGTTTTATCTTTATATGCCAGAGAGTTGACACATTTCTAGCTCAAAATGTCACCAACAAAAAAAACAAAACAACAAAAAACAAAAAAAACAATCAAGCATTATTATTTTTCAGCAAAAGTTTTTTGATTATGCCTCTGAGTCGGCAATAGCCAGAAACGGAAACAAAGATTTTGGGCTGACTGTCCGTCTGGCCCGTTCTCACGAACATGGTATCTCAGTAACGTCTTGAGGGAATTGTTTCAAAATGCGCATGAGGTCACAGTGACGTCATGTCTGTGCCATTCCTGTGAATTTGACTGTTTGGCAGAGACGTACAGCTGCGGAGCAGTAATTCTGATTTCTCCAACTTTTATATTTGCACTTTAGGAGCTGGCTTTAGGAAAGGGCTTTCCATCCAAGTCTTAAGCATTTTCAATTTGCACACAAGAAAACCTGAATGGAAAAATGCAAAAACACAAATATGGCAAAACTTTCTTACTGTTGGCTGCGGAGGAAATGTTTGATTTTAAAAAAGCAACACTGAAGCAGACTTAATAAATTGCGATGTGCATTTAGCATGCGACTGTCCAGTCACTAGAAAGAGAAAACCTAAGCTGCATTTGTTTTTAGGAATATTTTTGATTGTTCCAATTCATACTTGCGAATGAAGACAGGTTTGAGTCGAGGCTCTGCTTCATCCTCACTGTCTGTGTATTCTTCATATTCAGACTCTGATTCCGAGTCCTCTCCCGACTTCCCTTCCTCCTCCACATCCATGATCTCCATATCCTCGTTTTTCTGTTCCATGGCTCGCTGCCTCATCATTGTTCGTCTCCTCTCAATTTCCTGTGCAGAATGGGACAGTCCCGTAAACAGAAAAAAATGACCACTGCCAGGAAATCTTGCGTGACTGGGACAAACACAGTTAGTTCAACTTTAACCTCTAGAGTCCCTGCGTCCTCATATGAGGACTGGAGTAAAACTATGGAATAATTTAAGTGCTGACATAAAAAATGAAAGGTATGTGTCAATCAAGATCCACTTCTTCCTCTTCCTCCTCTTCATCTTCACTACTCTCCTCATGCTCTGGGTGCCACGTGCCTTCATCAGAGTCACCGCTGCTCTCAGCAACAACTTCAGGCTCTGTGATCTGCCTGTGTCTCGCAAGCCTGGGGACCCGGACATGAGAAGCAAAGAGATCAAATTAGCATTTCAGCAGTGAGATCAAATCAGTCAAATTAAATCTAAGGACCTCCATCATACCTCTCCTCCACGTCCTCTGACACACGGTTGAGCAAACGTTTAAGACGTGGGTCGGAGACCTCTTCCTCCTCCACCTCCAGCTCCAGCTCCATTTCCTTTCCCTTCTTCACAAACTGGAAGTCCTCCTCTTCCTCATCTGATGACTCCATTGGAGCATAGTCTGGGCGTTTACCTGACACATACCTCTTCACCTTCACTTTCTCCATGGAGAGCTCACCTGTAACATGAGACATTAGCTATAAGCTTGTTTGAATCAAACAATCAAAGTGTTACCTAAGCTACCATCATGCTGTTCAGTGCAACAGTTCTGCAAAACCTTGGCAGATGTGTTATATATTTGTGTTAAAAAAGTGAGAAGGGTAATGTAGGATGTACTGATGATCTATTTGAAGCTGACTCTAAAAGCCAGTAGAGCTGAAAATACTAAGTCATCCATCAGAAAAATAATCTGCAATGATTTAGATAACCACTCAATTGTTAAATAAGGAAAAAAACTGCATCCAGCTTCCCAAATTTGAGGAGTTTCTGCCTTTCCCTGTTTTATACCAGTGTAAATTGAAATCTCTCTGTATTTTAAACCTATTTAGGTCAATACATGCAACTGAATAGAGAAAACTTGGGCTTTGGCAAAAATAACTGATTAATGAATAATAAAAATAACTGTAGCAGCCCAAAATATTTATATTTTTCTTCCCATACCAACTGATACAGATATGTAACTCATAGTTGCACATGCTTAAATCTAAACTAAATCAACTTTAGACATAAACAAACCTTCAGCTGAAACAGAAAGACAAGTAATTTGATTTATTTGTTAAGACCAGCCAGTCAGGTTGAGAGTGACAGCAGATGGTGTTCACCCGTGTCTTACACTCAGGGTTTAATAAAAACACAAACCGTGATAATGAGCTGTAATATCCTCACAGTGAAAACTTCACACAGTAAACATAGTATATTGATGAAAGAGGATGCAATGTGTAGGGATGTCACAGATGCATTACTAACACTCCTGCTGCATGTGTTTACATGCCAATTCAGTTATTTGCACAGACGTGACAACGGATGCATTAAAAGGTGAAAGAGGTCCAGATATTTGTGCCATGCCACTATGGAGATTTACTGCTCTCCTCCATAGATGTGGTAATGACAGTAAACTACAAATATTAAGCATTTAAACCGTTTATCAATCAATCCAAGCAAAGTGTAGACAACAGCGGGAGATCTGTGAATCTGTAAAACTTGGTTTTCCACTATTTTAAAGCTTAGTGGCAGCAAAACGATCTCCATTAGCTGAATAACCTAGCACGACGCTAAGCGCCAAGTCCCACCTTTCTCATTCCGAACCGGCACGGCTCCGGCCGTGGACTGGATCGGTGGGAGCTTCATGTTGAGGGCTTCGCGACCTGACATGATTGCCTGGCCGACGATAACTGCCGAACAAATATAAAAGTGCGTTTCTCTTGAACAAAACGAGCTCGTCGTCGCCTCAAACGGAAGTTTAACGTTGCGTGTGAACGGACAGGAAGTGGATTTGGTCCGACAGACACTTCCGCCCAATAAGAAGACGCACATACTGAAGTTCACATGAAGTCATATGTAACCGCCAGGGGCGTAGTTCTGCATATGGACGGTGGGGACACGTTCCTGCAACTATTTGAGCAAATATGCTATACGCACATCCAAAAAAGATTCTGTATTTCCATAAGTGGAGTAAAACTATGGAATAATTTAAGTGCTGACATAAAAAAAACAGTGAGAAAATTGAGGAGTTTAAACATAAATATAAAGGTATGTGTCAATCAAGATATGGGCAAGAGCAGGCTTAATGATTAATCAGATGGGAGTGTGGATGTAGAATATGTATCCATGTAGTAATACTGCTTGCAAACCAATGATGATAAGATGATGTTATGGGGTAGGACTAGATAAGTCTAACTTCTTCCTACTCCGTTCAAGCATGTACTAGGTATAAGCAAATTGAAAATATATTTGTGGATATGTCTGGAATTATGTGTGGTTACATATTGACTGTTGTTACATGTTTGAAAGAATAAATAAATCAAAAAATCAAATCAAACCCGTGTGCATTACCTTTGGAGTGAAGTGATATTAGGTCATTACGATGTGACTGACTGAAGGGGAGGGGTCTACAGCTTAAGGTACATGTAAATGTCATGCTCCCAGACACGGAGGCGATAGGTAGCTGTCAGTGCGCTGACAATGGTGTATTATAATGGTTGACGTTGGAAAGATATTCAGAGATTCTAAGCTTCTGAACGAACAACAAAATGTTGCTAAAATACAAAGAACATGTCTTTTTTGACAACAAGCTACAAGCTCATTTTTATCAAAACGAGCTGTCCTCTGCTCCAGACAAATATCACTAGTCTCTGTGTGCAGCCAGCTGTGAGGCAGGGCCCGTCTCCAAAGTGCAACAAAAATATTGTTATGTCGGCTCTGTGAAGAAGGGCAGGAGTCCAGAGCCTGTTTTATTCTTGTTTATTAAATCCACACACAGGTGCAACCCCACCGCAACTGTGCATACTGAACACACACACACACACACACAGGTTTTCTCTATCAATGACCGGATCAACACCTATGCCCTTGGTAACAGTTTATATTCTTAAACATCAAATTAAAGCATTAATGAAGACTGCAGGTAACAATGCTTGCAATAGATTTATTAATGATTATTACTTCTGCATTAATGTAACTCATTTCCATAGAATGACAAGTATTTTTTAAATTATGGATTAATCTGATTTTTTACTTAATTTGATTGTAATCATTAAAAAAAATAATAAAAAAGTTAACTTGATCTAAACAATCATACAACCCTCAAAATTATTCCATGTTGTCAGAACTAGACCCCTCTCTGTCTGAACAGCTCCCCCAGCTTCTCCTCTAGGACTGAGTTGGTTCCTCTCAGGCCTTTCACCACCTCACTGGCCCACACAAAATACTCCTGGACCCGCTCAGCCGTCCAACCTACCAACACACACAAACACAGTATAGTACAGTATATAGAAATTTGTGAAGCTTTACTTGTGTATTTATAGTTCAAAACCCAAAAATATTCAGTTCACAATCATATATGACAGAAAAGGAGCAAATCATCACATATGAGAAGCTTTATCCAGTAAATGTTTGGAAATTTTGCATTAAAAAATGATTATCAAAATAATTGCTGATTAATGTTCTGATAATTGTTGCAGCTCTGAAACATATAAAACTTAAAAGTCCTGTAAAAAAACAACAAAAAAGATCCCAGCCACCGCAAATAATTTGGTTCCAGTATAACAACAGAAGTGACAGAGGCGCTGACCGACAGGTGTGCAGCGGTTCAAGTCCCTCAGGTTGTACAGCTTATCAGCCAGTTTGACCAGTTTGGCTTGTCGGCTGCACTGAGCCGCATGTTCCACCTGCAGAAGCTTCCTCTGCTGTTTGGGCAGGCGCTTGTCATCTGTCACCTCCTGAACAATACGAGCCACAATAGGTCCAAACTTTGCTTCAAGCTCCGCAGGAGTGGTGTCTGTGTCCTCTACTGTGTCATGAAGCAGAGCAGCCTGCTAGGACGGACAGCACATACAAACACATCAGACAAGCCCAGCAACACAACAAATGCTGCATGTGACAGTAACTTACTGATTTCAACTTACTTGTAAAACCTCAATGTCTGTGATGCCTCCTTCATGGCTCAGGACCCTCGCTACTCCTTAAAAATACAAAAACATTGGGGATATTTCTGTCCCAGACACTGCAGCATCATTCTCAACATATTTACCACAAAACAGTGACATTTAACTGTTGCTATTCTGTGAAAGCTGATTGATTTGAAACCACCTTGAAACTTTTTTCATTATTATTGTTAGAAATCCGTTTGTGTGGTGTACATCAATGTAAACTGTGCCATTTTGCATAATGAGTACTTTTACCTTTGGTACTTTAAGCATATTTTCTGCTAATACTTTTGTACTTTTATTTAAGTAACACTTTGACTGCAAGACATTTAACTTGTAACTGAGTATTTTTACACTGTGGTATTGCTACTTTTACTTAAATAAACATCCTAAGTACTTCTTCCACCTCTGCTTATACATACCAATGGGGTGATTAATGTACGGCGTTCCTTCTGGATCTTTACGACGCTGGTTTCGATGTTTGTCTGCGGCGAAATTAACAGTCTCTAGCAACAGAGCTGCGTCTGAATTCATGGCCGAGAATTACATAACATTCTGTAGAAACAGTAAAAGAGGGCACAAAGGGTCAGCTTGCCCAAATAACACACTGCTGCGTCAGGTCAATAGTCCGTCCTTTGTTGTGTCCGGGGGGAAACAGTGGATGATGGGCTCGGATCCGCTTATTTAGCCACGGAAATAGAGTGGGTAGCCGCTAATATCATCTAAACGCCCCTTGGCTGATGTTTTGACAGAAATTCACACAATTGATAAGATTTTTTTGTGAAATTATTTCCACATCAGTTTTGACGCTGCCTTGAAAAGTCTTGAAAATCAGTGTAAGGAGAGGGGCATGGTTTAGCCTACAAGCTAAGCTAGTTAGCTCTTAGGTTAACCACAACACAGATTTGTGTCACTTCAGCACGTTTCTGTTGGTTGTAGCTTTTCTGTCATTAACTTACTGTTTGTGTAGTAATAACATTAGAGGAGTATTTCGTGTGCAGTGGGTGAATGACTGTTGTCCTCTCGGCGTAGCCCACCATGGCTCACAGTGCCCGGAGGGATTCCCCGGAGCTCCCTGACTTCTCGATGCTCAAGAGGCTGGTCAAAGATCAGCTCATCTACCTGCTGGAACAGGTGAGAACATACCACGATTAGCTGCCACCTGGGTCCTGCTGCAGGTTAGAGTAATATGACTGGCATGTTAAAAATACATGTTTTTTTTATAATAGGACATTAGCAGGCCATTAATTGACTACTCAGTGTTAGTTACGAACATAGAAAACTAAGGGATATCTTTACATTGAGTTACACTGTGGAGACTGTGTGCAGTTGCAAAGCAGGTGTTGCACTTGTGACCATAGCCCATCTGTAATGATGGCCAGAGGTGAAATATTTTGCTTTGTCTTTTTCACTAACTTAAACTACAAGTCTGGTTATACTGTATAGTTTTAGAAATGCAAAATATCCTTTTCATTATCAATTGATTCACAATTTGTGTAAATAATAATAGGGTGAAATATGCAAATGATAGTTTTTAACAGACTGAGACAAAGCATTCAGATTGCTTTGATTGACAATCCACATCCTCTAGCTATTGATAGCTACTGTATATGCTGAAGGAAACCATTGCATTCTCACATTTGAGATCTAGTGTCACTTTATTTGGAACACAAGACACAAGTTATTTGATTAGTAAAATATCAAACATGTCTGTTTTTTTCTCTTTGACACACAGCTGCCGGGGAAGAAGGACCTCTTCATTGAGGCAGACCTGATGAGCCCGCTGGATCGAATTGCTAATGTGTCAATACTAAAGGTGAAAATCCATCAGCTACAGATACTTTTCAGACTTTTGATATTGGAAACATTTAAGAAAAGCTGCAGTTCCAGTGGCTTTTTAAAGAATTTTCACTCCCTCTCTCTCCCTCTTTTTACAGCAACATGAAGTCGACAAACTCTACAAAGTGGAATACAAACCTGTTATGAGCACATCAGAACAGTGAGCCCTGCATCCCTCACACTGCTAACATTTTACACACACACCTGATGTGACAGCATGACAGTGTGGCTTTACTCTCTTTTAGGCTCTGTTTTCTGATCCGGCCAAGAATACAGACTGTGAAGTGGATATGTGGTGAGTAGAGTTGGATGTTGGCTCAGTGGTAGTTTAATAATACAGTTAATGATAAATCTTGTGATAAAACTGAATGACACTAAAACAATAAACAAGACAGAGAGACAGAGATTGAAGGAAAACAACACAACTTATTAAACTTAAAATCTGATCATTTCAGAGCCACCACTATATGAGTAAAAGGTCATATCGTTGATTAGAAACCACTGGTGCGGTTAAATATACTGTACTCACATATAAACACTTCTGCCCGGCCCTGCATACATATAATGACTTAGTTACGACATCACTCCTGTTTTCCTTGACTCCTGGACAGTGAGCCTGCAATATAATTTAATATTCTCAACCTTCCTGTTCCAGATGTGGTCAATGCAGATAAGACAGCAGGAAAATGTAGAAGATACAAGCTCATCTTTACCCCTCAGAAGGTATGTCCCACTCTGCTGCTGTGTTCAGATGCTGATTAAATTAGTTTTGGATCAAGTTCTGGATATTTCCCTGCTGACCCTCCTGTGTTGTCCAGTTCTACGCGTGTGAGGCGGTGCTGGAGGAGGAGGGCATCTTTGGTGGTAAGCATCCTTCTTCACTTCGTCACTTTTTGTTTTAGAAGCAGTGACCAGTGTCTTTGCCTCGTCTTTGCCCTCTCACAGATGTGTCCACTGATGAATGGACTTTCAACCTCCTTCCACTGGATGAAGACATCCTCAGTCTGGAGCTGCCAGAATTCTTCCAAGACTACTTCCTGGTAAATACAGGGTCTGGAATATATTTAAAATGATTAGTGGATGAATCATTCAGTAAATGAACACATACATTTGATAAGAGGCCTAATGCTTACTGTATCACAGTGAACCCAGAACTGATCATGGCGAAAACGTTCTTCAGGCTCTATCAGGCAGAGCATAGAGTAAAGCTGTGTTCAAAGCTTTTACTTAATCTTGTTTAGAAAGACTGAATGAACATAAATATGCAATCAAAATTGAAAATCTAGATTATTCTTTGGCATGTTACTGAACATCGTGCATGCAACAATCCATCAGAGCAGAGTCACTGGCTAAAATAACCCTGCTGTAAAGGAAATCAATTGGATTTTTAAATTGATGCTCAGTTCAGAATCAGCTTTATTGGCCAAGTGTCTTGGACACACAAGGGATTTGACTCAGGTACAGCGGCTTTCAGTGTGGATCTACAATGCTCTTCCACAAGGCAACAAGTAAACAAGATACAGTAAGACTGAGAGAACAAGAATAGGAAAACAATAATAAAGTACTGAGAAATATATCTATATAAACAGTGTGATATACAGTATACCGTATATATCACGCAGTTTAGATGCAGTTTTCCATATAGATATATACTAAGATATTGCACTGAGGGTTGTGGTCCTGTTATTCAGTCATGGGTTCAGTGTTCATCAGAGTGACGGCCTGGGAGAAGAAACCATCCTGGTGTCTGGTTGTCTTGGCACACAGTGACCTGTAGCGCTGTCCAGAGGGGAGGAGCTCAAACAGTTTGTGTCCAGGGTGTGAGGGGTCTGCAGAGATCTTCTCCGCCCTCCTTTTGACTCGTGAGGTGTACAGGTCCTCCATGGAGGGCAGGCTGACCAGTGGTTCTTTCTGCAGTCCTGACTGTCTGCTGGAGTCTTTATTATTTGGCCCCAAAGAGGGGGGGGGGGGGGTCCGGAGGGGGGTTTCAGGCCATGCTGTCATAAATCTTCAGAGCCCCACAATAAGCAACACCATTCTCCAGACCTAACCTACCCATAACACAAAGCATCGATGAACCCTGTCCTCACCTAAGAGAAGAGCAGATATGTGGTTTGACAGCAGCAGCCGGCCTAGCTGACTTGTAGTGGCAGTCGCCTCTGAGAGCCGGGTCAACTCACTGGGAATTTCACATGTATATATTACAGTTCCACATTCAATATTTAACTAAGTCATTCTACTTGGCTACACTGGAACTGTTTATTTCTTTATTTGTAGTTTAACCAGGAACAATCATAAGGTGTGTTTCTCAGGCAGGGGACCAGCGCTGGGTGAGGACCGCAGGCACTGCTCTACACCTCCTTCATTCCTTGTATGGCCCGTTTTCAAAGGTCTACGGGATTGGACGATGTTCCAAGGTGCAGTATGATCAGAGAGACTGTTATGTCGCCTAAGATAATGTTTATGGTGTTTTTTTGAGATGGGCATGATTAAGGATTGAATTTCCATTGGGTCTGTCTTTCTCTGTGGTACCAGATGGTGTACGAGTTGTGGAGGGAGCAGGTAGAAGAGGGAGAACAAAAAGCTCATCAGGCTGAAATAGGGAAAGTTTTTCTTATTGACAGAGGTAAGAAGCAGTGTGTCCTTCTCTCAGTGGACGAAACACTGCTTTTTGTATTTTGTCCATCCTAACAGTGTCAGTGTCTTTGCAGATGTGGACTTTGTCACTCCTCTGTGCTCACAAGTTGTCTATGAAGGACTCGTGGATGATATATTTAGAATCAAATGTGGTGGGTATCAAAGCAGCAGCTGGAGAGGTGACTATGTTCATTTAAATTAAGTCTCAGTCCACACTAACTGGCTAAATCTGACAGCTCTGTTTATAAGGAGCAATGATTTTAGGGTTAGGGTCAGGCAGTGGGACAGTATACTTCTTCACGACTACTTGTTGGATGGTCACACCTTTCTGACATCAGGTTGGAGCTCTATTTCCGACCTTTTCTGTAACGTTCTCAAACTGAAAAGTTGACATTCATGTCCACTAAGCTGCCAAGGTCTGAACTTCTGTCTCGGACTCCTTTTCAGTCATTCGCAACTTTTTTTTTGGTGCTTTTCATGAGACCTGCTAAGTGATGTCACTGTTTTGGTATATACTGCAAGTTTTCTTCTCAACTAAAGAAAATCAGATGGGCTCATGGGAAAAAATTCTTTGCTGTTGAACTGTAAGGCCTCAGGTGCTGGAGAGCAGGTGGGATAAAGTACAAATACTTGTTTGTTTTATGGATTTCTCAGATGCTTTTGTGTGCATTTTTCCATGTCACACTATTAGAAAAGTATGAAAATACCTGATCAGTATTTCTGAACATTCCCTGTTCATAAACAAACGGGTTGTGAGATGTTCGGGTCATACAGGGAGATGAATAAACATCATGTCTCAGATAAGATGACAACCAGGATTCCAGTGTGTGTGTTTGCTGTACTCCGTGTCAAAACTCGCAGCTCGTTTGTTTTCCTGTTGTATAGTGACACTCTGGGTCCAGGTGCTTTCTGTATGTGTGTTGATGTGTCGTGTCATCATTTGTTTTGCAGGATGTGTAGAGTTTGGACCTGATGTTACCTCCTCTGACAAAAGTGTAAAAGTCATGCTGAACTCTCAGGATAAGGTAGGGCTGACACTGGAGGTGATCCATCTGCTGTAGAGATTTACTTCCCGTTATTTTAAGTTGAATGTCTTTCTGATCTCACATTTCACAGGTCTTCAATGAAATCAGAAACGAGCATTTCTCCAACGTCTTTGGCTTTCTCAGTCAGAAAGCCAGGAACCTCCAAACTGCATATGATGTGAGTAAATGCATATTACCCTCATCAGTCATTACAACTAAGGTGAGGGAAGTAACTGACACTTGTCTTTTGTTCTCCTTTCTTTAATCCAACAGAAGCGTCGGGGGATGGACATAAAGCAGATTAAGGCATTTGTGTCAGAGGAACTAAAAGGGTTAAAACAGGAACATCGGCAACTCAGCCTACGTGAGTGTTGCAGCAGTACAATGTATACTGTATGCATGGATGGATTATGGGACAGTAGATAAATCCATCCATCCATTCTCTATATCGCTTATCCTAACGAGGGTCACGGGGGGGCTGGAGCCATCCAGGCTGACAGTGGGCGAGAGGCGGGGTCCACCCTAGACAGGTCGCCAGTCTATCACAGGGCTAACACTTAGAAACAGATAACCACACTCACTTCTACAGGCAGTTTAGAGTCACCAGTCAACCGAAGCTGCATGTCATTGGACTGTGGGAGGAAGCTGGAGTACCCGGAGAGAACCGACACAGGCACAGGGAGAACATGCAGACTCCACACAGAGAGGCCTCAGGTTGGCCTGGGCTCGAACCTGGAACCTTTTTAGTAGGTAGATCCCGGTTTCCCTAATTAGATGCACATTTCCCTCACTTGCATCTTTTTCTTACATCTTAGTCCCACCTGCATAAGATGTGAGGTGAAAAAAATTCAAGAAGAAAGGAATCGAGGAAACATGTTTTAGAGACATGACATGTCTTTTCCTTTGTTCGTCATCTGAAGCATCCGATCACCAACTGATTTCTGATAAAGGGGTGCGTCAGTCCATAAAAGAATATATTTTCACTCATCGCTACTCCAGCAGCATCTTCACTCTTTGATCCTTATTAAACCAGAACAACTTCTGGTACAAGCTGGAATCGAGGAGTGAGCAATTATGGAAACTGGGATTTACCCACTGGGTCACTGGGCACAGATGTTTAGGCCCCCACCTCTGGTACGTTTCTAGGAGCAAGACTCAGATTGAGCAGCCATGTGATTTGTAGTCAGTCTGTGTCTTCTTGTGGTTTTGTGACATTTTGCATCTATTCTTTCCTCATGTTGTGGCATTTTGTAATCTTTTTTGTAGAAATTTCACTGACTTTCCAACAAAAAAGGTTAACAGTCCCTTCATGGTTCTCTGGTCTAGGGGGCCTCTGACCCCCTGGGTCTGTGCCCTGTAGGCCCATTCAGAATCCATACAAGACTGTCTGTAAGATTGATTTTTATGTTTTCAAGGCTGTGTTACTGAAGAGCACATTCTCTTTCAGACATCGGTGCCAGTGAATCGATAATGAAGAAGAAAACAAAGCAGGATTTCCAGGAGCTGTTGAAGACAGAGCACTGTAAGTTTACTCAGGTTGTTACGTTCAGGTTTTAGTTAAATGTGTTTCTTGATGATAGTTGCTTCAGCTTTTTGGGACAAGATTTGTTCAGGCATCTTTTTGTTTGTTATTGATGCTGATTTTGATTTCTTGTGTTCCAGCTTTACTTGAAGGATTTGAAATTCGTGAATGTATTTCTTTCATAGAGGAGCACATGAACAGACAGGTGCGTGTGCTTAAACGCAGTCGTTCTGTTATACAGTGGCTATGTGCTTTTGTTAAAGAGAAGTTTAGTTTTTAATACATTTGCATATATTTTTATTTTTTAGGTCTCCATGATAGAAAGCCTTAGGCTGCTTTGTCTTCTGTCCATCACAGAAAATGGTGAGTTGTCTTGTGACATGAATTCAAAGACACAATCTGCTGTGTGTTCTGCTGCTGTAATGAGGGTGTGATGGTGTTTTCTCACAGGACTCCTGCCAAAAGATTACCGGTCATTAAAGGCACAGTATCTACAGGTGAGCCTTAACATGGCTGAGTGTAACCACTGTTTACTGAAGCACATTGTATTCAACAAAGAAATAAAAATTGGAGGATGTTATCTTGTAGTTATGATTTACTATTTAGTAATTACGAGGATCTCATGATTATGAGAAAAGATCTCATATTTACAAGATCTTTTTCTTGTAATCATGAGATAATGCAGGGGTTGGACTGCTGCAGAACAAAGTCATTCGGTGAGAGTTGTCAGTACATCCAATAGTGCATAGCAAAACTGAACTATTAATAGCTAATTCAGTATATTGGTGTTTCAGTACTGTTGTATTTTTGGGCTTATTTAATGGTACAGATACTATTTTCTTGCCCTGCTCCTCAGTAAGTAAGCCAAATAAGACAAAGTATTGTAAATACTCACTAGAGAAGAAGAAGAAGCTTTATTTTATTGTCATTGTAACACTGTGACACGTACAATGAAATTTTGTTTGGAGCTGAGGGCCCCGAACAAAATGTGAATTAATTTCATGGTGAATGACAATTTGTCTTTTACATGTCTACTTAAGAACAAATGTGTTCATACAACTGGTTCTTGCATGAGGCTCATTGTCTCTACTTGACCTGTTCAGAGCTATGGAGTGGACCACCTGTTCACATTTGTCAGCCTGAGGCAGTTGGGGCTCCTGGTGGAGCAGCAGCCGGGGGATACGCTGACTGTCATGGAGAGTAAAGTGGGCAAACTGGTCAATGACAAAACAGCAGGTTACAGTTATCTCCTCATCACCAAGAAATGGCTGAATGATTAATTTCAAAACACATTAAACTGTTCCAATCCTGCTTTATTGTTTCTTATTTTAGGAAAGCTGACTGATGCCTTCTCTTCTCTGGCAAAAAAAAGCAACTTCAGAGCCTTGAGCAGAAAACTCAGCCTGGTAAATTATCATCATCTTTACTGTTTTGTTCCAGAAGACTCAGTAATCATGTTACAGTATGACACACATAACGGTAGTTTGCCTTCAGCTCTGCTGACTAGCTGACTATTACATTTTGAGGTGCCAAAGTCAGATGAAGAATACGACCTGCGCGTCCCACGAGACATGGCGTACATCTTCAGCGGTGCCTACATCCCTCTGAGCTGCAAACTCATTGAGCAGGTAAGTAAACCCACAGGGTTCTTTTGTTTTTTCTTGTATTTGATTAGTGCCATAATAAAAAGCCTTTCTATTGCTGTTCTTGCTGTGTGTTTTGCAGGTGTTGGAGCGTGACAGTTGGACAGGACTTGAAGAAGTCACCAGGCTGCTAAATGGGCATGAATTTGCTGCTGCAGGTTAGATCACAAGGAGTTATTAATACGATGATAAATATGAAAGGGATTGTTTCAGGCTGCTCAGTGTTTACATGCACTCAGCAGCAATCTGATTTCTGAAACACCGTGCAAACAACAAACCCGGCTTCTTCTTGTACAAATCAGCTCTAATTTTGGTGCCTGATTTAGATTTAGCTTTGAGGTACAAATGAAGACAGGAAGTTGGGTGAAAAGAAAGATAATCCCATTCATCCTCATATTCAAAATAATTATAGTCCAACACAATTTTGAAATCAAGTTAAAACCTCCTCTAGAAGTTTTACATTGGTTGGTTCCACTACTTTCTGTCAAATTCAGACACATTAGGCTCAGACTCTGAGCGCAGAGCCTGTCCACTCACTCTGTCCCGTCAAATGTTCTGACAAAGACAAAATCAGGTAAGCAGAGTTGGCATCACTACAGTAAAGTTAGATTGATGTAAGCTGTGGTCCCTAAATAGGGATGGTGTAAGAGAGGTGTTTTGACAACAGAGCAACTGCGGGTATATAAGGATTGACAGTAACCAGTGGGCATCTTGTGGTCATGCAAACAGCAAGTACATCTAAATGTTTAAATAAAATGAGAAAAGAGGTTTTTCTGCTTCTCACCAGGCAGCAGCGGAGCTGACTTAAGTGAGAAGAACGATGCTCAGCGCATCATCCTTGTCATGTTTCTGGGTGGCTGCACCTTCTCTGAGATTTCAGCACTGCGTTTCCTCGGCAGAGAGAGAGGTAAAGACCCAGAGGCTGATGGAAACATTTGACTTTACCAGAAAATGCTTTGGGTTTTTCAAGTGTGTGCCAGTCTTCTAGGTTGTGTTCTAATCTGAACTGTCCCTAATAATTCATTATCTTATGCATTTTGAATTTTTCAAATAGTAATATTATTAGTAGTGTAGAGGTTATTGGTTCAGATTGTATGATATGTGTTGTACTCTTGCATTTCCACTTCATTGATAGTATAGTATTTCTTTATTTTGTGGTTCAGTAACTTATTGATTTCCTCAAAGAAATTTGATACAAATTATAGAGAAAATAGGATTTTTCTTGAAAGGAAAGCTCTATTCCAGCCTAAGTAAATATTCTCTTGCTCATTTATTATTGGAAACTTTGTTGTCCCCTATATGGTGAATTATATGTTGACAAATCTCAGTCGTGCACCTTCAGCCAACCTGCTACGCACTGAAATTAAGTTTTGGTTACACTAGCAGTTTATTGCAGTTCATCAGTTGAGTGTGTACCAAATGAATCCCAGAACTTTCATTATTATTTGTATGAAATTACACAGTTCTATTAAACTATTGGACAAATTTCTGACCCCAAATAAACCCTTACCAGACCTTTTTTGCTTTGAGTTTAAAACACTCAAGAAAGAAAGAAAATTATTATTATTATTATTATTGGAACATGCACATATTGTACATCAAAACTTGCCTTTTGTGTTTCACAAAAGTTTCCTTCATTAGGAAGGAGAAAATTATTTTATTGGCTTTACTGTTTTTCTGTTTCAGGTTACAGATTCATTGTGGTAACAACTGCGATTACAAACAGTTCACGACTCCTTGAGGCTTTACTGGACAACCATGTATGATTGTGAGGACACACAGCCTGTCAGCACATAACAAAGGATGGAAACCTGACACATTCCATAGACTCCTCATGCTTTCCCTCCATTGCTGGCATTGTTACTGATGGAAAATAGTCACTTCTGGTGAGGTTTCTGATGACAAAAGAACTGTAAAGATGTATAAAGTAAATACATGTTTCTACTATATTTGTTGTGTTTTCTTCTTGTACATATTTAGAATACATCTTCTTCTCTGCTTTGAATTCCTCAGTTTAAAAAATTGTTCTTCTTTGGCTGAGGTTTATTGGCGGTGTGCAAAGTACGAATTGGTACATTACCACCATCAACTGGTATGGAGTGGGGGTCAAGAATATCAATATCATATTCTCTCAATTAACGTACTGTAGTTGTTATAAGGTACTAGAACAAAAACTGGTAACATATATTTCCTGAAGATTTTCTCAAGATACCTATTAGATCATAAGGCATGTTTATCCCCCTAAGGGTTTGAATTAGGTCCCTCCTTTGTATTTCGTAGTTCTGACAATGTAACATGAGGTATTCTGATATCTCTTCTTATGCTGCCCTATTTTGAATAGTGTGCTGTTAAGACCACTACATCCAAATCTTAATATTGATACTACCATCTCATCTCTTCTACTTCTCCCTGTACCTCCCATGTCTCCTACTTTACTTTGAATCCTATAAAACCACTGTCCTTTCCTCTGTTCCTACCACTTCTCCTTCAGCCTCTGTTTGATAACACGCGTGTCATACTAAAGTTGACTTCTGTATTAATAGCGTTAGTTTTTATGGCCTCATTTGCAGCCTTGGCCGCTGTTTAATTTCCCTTTAACCTGATATGTGCTGGTATCCATAAAAACGCAAATGTTAGCCCAATCATTTGAATTCTGTGGAGAGTTTGTAATATTTAAATTAAGATGTCGGGTCGTCGTCGTAGGGCAGTCGTTTCCTGACTAGCAAGTTGGTGTTTCGACTCCCGGTCTCCCCGCACGCTTAGTGTCCCTGAGCAAGACACTAAACCCCGAATTGACTAGCGCCGTTGTGTGGCAGCCTGTCGTCATCGGTGTGTGAATGTTATGTGTGTGAATGGGTGGAGGGTGTATCATCTCCTGTAAAGCGCTTTGGCCAGTGCAACACACTGTGGAAAAATGAGCTATATGAATACAGTTTTACCATTTACTGTCTGAATGACTAATGTAGACTACTCAGTGATGAACTTTAATCTGAACAAACAATTGTTCTCGGTGGTCATGTATCCTCTATCTATTGTAGTGCTAAGAGTATCGCAATCATTTCTCCGGTGTATACTGAAAATCCTTTATTACTGCTTTTCCCTACTTTGAGATGAAATTCTAGAACAAAAAAAGTTCCACTCCTATTTTATCATCTGAATGTTTCGATGCATCTGTGAAGATGCGAATAGAACCGCAACAACTATCAATATAGACCTGTATACTATATATGTAAAATTGACTACAGCGTCATTTAGTTAAACTAGAATGCTGCTGCTTCTTCACCACACCCTCGATGGAACTAGTATGTTTTCATTCATCGGTTTTTCAGGGACGGGCGGTTCCTAGTCAGGGTTAACTGTAGAAGATCAGGCGGTCGTAGTTTGCAACAACAAGCGCTCCCACAGAAGGAGCCAATCAGAGGGCAGCGTGCTGCTGAACGCGTATTTTGAACTGTGTACAAACGGATTGGAGAGACAACAGACAGAGGGACGAGGCCCTGTAACTTGTCTAGGTGACAAGTTTTAAACTTTTCACCGAAAATCGCAACACAAGCTGGAATTGAAGATGAGGAAAAGGTAAGGTAAAACTTTTGCCGATAGTTATGATAGACTCAGGGTTTGAAAATCAACGTTGGATCATGACGGCAGCTAAAGGAGATGACAAGTAAGCTAACCTTAGCTAGTTATTAGCCAAATCAACCTTAACGTCTTTTAGCAGTGAGTTATGTGTTGCCTTTGGTTTAAATGATACCAGTGGTTGTCTACAATATAACCGATATCTACTCTGCCTCCTTTAACTGTGCTCAAAGTTGTTCTTGTGAAATGGGTATTTTTAAATATACAAATGAGTTTATTATCAGCGTGGTTTGTTGCCCAACTCGTTGTCTGTAGTTATAGTACCTCTAATTAAAGATAGACTTGGTAAGGTTGGGACAATTAAATGCCTGTTTTCTTGGCAAGCAATTCAAGGTTCTGGAAAGGATCCTATTAGACCGCTTGAAAAACTATACTTTTTTTTTTTTTTTTTAAGAGATAATATATTTGGATTTTTGTTTAATCTAGGTACTGATACGTGTATCTATACCTTGAAAGAGATTGTACAGAAATAGAGACGCCACAAATCAACCTTTTTTTTTTAAATTAGTTTTATTGATACTCCTAGGGGCTTTGACCGGGTCAGTCACTGTAAATTATTCACCAAACTGATACCAAGGGGAGTTCCTGACAGTATCGTCAGGATTTTAACATATTGGTATTCTAATTGGGTGGGGGTGTCTCCATTGCTCTTTAACCTTCACATGGATGATCTGTCACTGGCGTTGAGTGGCTGTATGGTTGGTAGTACACTTGTACTCTGTAGAATGAGAGATGATAGGGATCTCCCGTTGTCAGATTTTTTACTTATCCAGTGAAGTTTTAAGTATTTGTGCTAGGCCTAAATGTATCTGGGTCATTATATTACAAACCAGTTTTGTGCTGATGATGACGACATGGTCAGACAATGTTACATTTTGTATGCACAGGAGTATGTTGGCAAGAAGGTTTCACAAGTTTTCTGATGTAGTCACAGTAAGACTCTTTAATCTTATTGCTTATCTTTGTACACTGCGCCCCTGTGGATTAATTTCCAGAAGGGGACTAAATGGAAGATTCAGACTGCCTACAAAGCTTGCTGAGATAGCCAAGATTTTGTAATGCCAGCGGGTTGTTCTGCAGAGAATTTGTACTTTTGATGATGCTGCAGTTAGACGTGTGCTATAACTTTATTTTACGATTAAATGGCTCTGAAAATGAGATCATTAAGATTATTGGCATGAAGTGATATCAGGTACCAGTCCACCTTTTGGGAGTTCTGGTACTGCTGTTCATTGGTTCTGTAAGTTGTCTATATTTTGTTCTTGTTTTTTGTTTTATTGTCTTCTTTTTTTATGGACTCTTAGCCTTTTAATAAAGGGTGGATTGATATGTATCTAACCGATTGTCTCCCACTAGCGAGGTGCTCGCAGCAGAGGCTGTGTCGTGCCTGAATAAAGCTCTGTGCCACCTGAAAGACATCTGGGAGGAGATCGGTATCCCGGAGGACCAGAGACTGCAGAGGACCAATGTTGTTAAGAACCACATCAAGGTGAGATACAGTATGGTAAAAAGCTGAGAGTAAAGGGCAACTTAAATTACAAGACTGAGTCTGCTTTTGTAACATTATCCACTTGTTGTGGGAGGGTGTAAGACATAATAGTTAAAGCTTTAACACTTTTTAAAACCATTTTTCAAGTTTCTAGCTAACATGCTGTTTTTGAACCACAAAATGTTTTTCTCCAATCACACAACAAAGTAGGTCCAGATTTAAAAGCTCTGTGTTTACAGACATTTGTGAAACATTTAATTTGTGAAAACGATTTTACTGATTTTTTTTTTTTTTTTTTGTCATTTAGTCCACACTATACTGGTAGAAAAGAGATCTGACAGATCTGGACAAACCACATTTTCATTGTCTTGAAACCTGTGAACTTGTTTGTGTGTGTCTGAGAAAATGTGAGGTGGGTGGGGTCTTGTACAACAACACAGCAGTCGTTATTTGTGAAACTAAAGCCCCAGTGCTGGTCAGTGGTCAGCAATGCAGAGCTTTAGTTTATGATAGCAGCTAGTTTGTTGTTTTTTACTAAATCCAGACTCACATTGTGTGTTTATTATTTTTTTTTTATAGGCTAATATTGATTTTACTCTGAAAAATTTCACTGCATAGTCACATATGCTCCAATTCATATTTCCAGAAGAGGGTCTGACTTCTGTCCATGTACACTGATGTTCTCCAAGCATGTGCATTTTGATGTTCTTTCCACACATGCGTGTTAAAAGAAAACAGTTCATGCACTTTCAAATAATTGTATGCTTTATCATCAGTATGACTGAAAAACAGCGTTTAAACTCCCTTACATGGTTTTAAAATGTCTTAAACTTAACCGGCGGGACCCTCTCTGATGATGTCTTTCAATATGATTATTTTTAAATTAAATGTATAACTAAGCATTTTTGATTGTGAGTTACTGTGTAATCCTCTCCTTGAGTGTTTGCCAGCAGGGGCAGTGTGTATTAATAAACACTGTCTTCTGTTAGACATCTGTATTAGTACCAAGGACCAGTTTAACTATCATAGGTAAACTCTGTGCTTGGGTTTTAGGCATATTGTGGGATTGCATAGAAATGAAAGTAGCTATCACATTTGCCAAAATCCACAATCAGAATGATCATTTAGTGGTTACTGGTACGTGTTTCAGTATTTCATAGACTGCATGTCACTGTACTTATTCACCAGGGCTTACTCGACATGATGATCAAAGAAGAGGAATCTCTGAAGTCGAGGCTCATCAGCAGCATTCAAATGTGCAGGGCGGAAATGGAGAAGCTCTGCCTGGCACTTCAGCTCCCTGTGTTTGAGGTTACAACACTTTTGCTGTTAATAATTGTGCAATGATGAACACAAGTCAATAAAAATAGCTTTCACTTATTAACACAGTTGATGATGAGCAGCTTTACACGGTTTACTGACAGTGCAGTTGTAAAGGAAACTGCTCGAGACACCTTGTAAGCTTAATCTGTTATGTCCTCCATACGTTCAGGAGGAGGATGGTATCAGCATGCTGCAGCAGGAGAAGAACATCCGCACACGTGTGGAGGCTCTGGTCAAGGAGAAGGCCCAGCGAATGCAGCAGCTGAAGGTTCTGCTGGAGCAGGACCAGGACCTATGTGACATCCTGTGCTCCCTGCCATACGGCATCACTCCAGACTCTGTCCCATCACTGCAACAACTGGAGAACTTCCGCCAGCACATTGCCAACCAGGAGGTGGAGAAGGTAGGAGCTCTCGTTGTTACAGCTGCATCTGACTGCATTAATGGAAGCGCTGTGTTACAGGTTATGCTGCAGGAGGTGGTGGCAGATGTTAATGTTAATGCAACACAACAGTCTTCTCTGTGGCTCACACTGTTACTCAGATAAAGCCTCATTCAGTCAGTTTTCATGTTTAGACTCGCAGACGAGTTGTGTGCTTTTCTATGCTGACACAGTAAGAAGAGGCGGGTTCTCTCAGGGCAAGTGGTATTTTAATTAAGTCTCATCATGTGGCTTTAAGATCCTAGTTTTTGTCTTGGTTTAATATGATTTCACATGAAACATGACACTGGAGAAGTCCTCTTAAAGCAAAACTGTTTGTCATGTGTACCATGCCCTGCTAAAGGATGACTTTTTGTAAAAATAATAAACAACATTTTAACTGGTAGGAGTTGATAACACTTAGGCTGCTGTATTGGTATTACCCTAAAAAAGTTTTTTTGAAGCCTGACACTGAAGCAGTGAGTTGCCTTACAACAAACGCCTGCAGGTCTTTGAGTAAACAGTTGAGCTGGACTGCTCCAAAATAGGGTGAAAATCTGATATATACTCGTGAATTTTGTTCTTTTTTTTTGTTTTGTTTTTTTGTTTTTTTGTTTTTGACATTTCACAACAAAGCTGAGGTGGGTTTTAATATAAAAATACACCTCTAGCATGTAACAGCCTGTGGCAGGTCACTACAAAGAGCCACAACGTAACACAAACTTTAGTCATGTTTAACTAAATGCTGTACTGCCTTCCTGTTGTCAGGCCAAGCGGTACGCTGAGTTCACAGACCTGAAAAAACAAATCATCTTGTACATGGGAGAGCTGGACCACATCCCCGAGACCAGCTTTGAGAAGGACGTCGTCTGTGAGGAGGAGGATTCCTTTTGTCTTTCTAGAGACAATATTACTTCCCTCAAGCTGCTTCTGTGTCAGGTATGATGGTTTCTACAGGTTGTCTGTCCATTTGTGTGGCCTATTGTGAACGCAGTATCTCAGAAACGCCTTCAGGGAATTTATTCACATGTGGCACAAACGTTCACATGGACTCGAGGATGAACTGATTAGATTTTGATGGTTAAAGGTCACAGTGAACTCACGTCTGTCCCAGTCCTGTGAGTTTGGCTGGTTGGCAGAGGCATGCAGCTGCAAGGTGGTAGTTCTAGTTATAACGTTAGACCATGTGTCTGCAAGTCTCAAGGGCAAAAGCACTGATTTTATTGTATAAAATGCTATTTGTGTTTTTTTTTTTTCTTTCTTTGCCAAAACAGGATTAAACTGTAATTTATTTATTTTTAATTGATTAATCCAGCCAACCATTGTCATGATAAAAGATATTAGGAATTACTGTTCTGTACTGAAAAGGTTGTGATAGAGAAGTATAACGTTAAATAATTTTAGGCCTTAGCTCCACAGCTGGTTTCCAGTGAGCTCTGTGTTACAGTAGTTGAATAGAACACCTTAAATGGTAGTACAACAAAATTTACTTTGCATGTCTGATACTTGCAAGAAAAAAAAAAGTATCTTTGTGGAGCAGGTATTAAATTGCAGTCTATTCTGTTCCTCTGAATTCCATTAAAATGTCTTGCAAAAAAAGAAAAGTAGTTTTGAGAGTTTTGATGCATTGTAATCAGGCCTTGAGAGCTATATATATATAATAGTTCAGATGTATAATAAGTTAAGCTATCATTTAAAGCAGTGGACATAGTCAGTCTCCAAGCTGCTGGGCTGTTAACTGGTGCTGCTTTCCATCATGTCGATCCTGCAGCTGGAAGAACGAAAGACAGAGATGGAGGTGATGTGTGAGAGTCACCGAGAGAAGATCCAGCAGCTGTGGGAAAGACTGCAGGTTCCTCAGGAGGAGAGGCAGGCCTTCAATGAGCACATGGTTGCATCCAGGAAGAGGAATCTGGAAGCGGTGAGAAGACTCAAGTGTTCAGACTAAAAATGGGCAACGTCTGACTGTCATGCTGTGGTCAGTGTTTTCCTCTTCACTTGACACTTTATTTTCCGCTCTAGTTACAAGTAGAAGTTCAGCGTCTGGAGGAGCTCAAACTGCTGAACATCCACAATGTTATAGACGCCATCCGCTCTGAGATTGCTGTGTTTTGGGAGAAGTGCTTCTTTAGCATGGAGCAGCGTCAGACCTTTGCACCGTATTTTAGCGGTGGGTTCACTTGTTATTTCACTTGCTTCAGACTGAATGAATTTGTAAAATTAGATTAAGAAAATGACTCGAGCTGTAATTGAATGTTTTAGAGGATTTTACTGAAGAGCTGTTAAGTCTGCATGATGCTGAGATCCAGCGCCTGAAGCAGCATTATGAAGATCACAAAGAGCTTTTTGATGGGGTTCACCGATGGGAGGAAAGCTGGAGATTCTTCCAGGAACTGGAGGTGAGGCCCCCGGAACAGGAAAAGCAAACTAAAGCTCAGTCCATCTGAGGCTGTGGTCATGGGACCAAACCAGAGACGGTCAGATTTTTACAGATGACGGCCAGCAGGTCTATTTAAAATTCTTCCCCACATGTGCATATGTGATTGACTTTTACAAGCCACATGTGGTCCAACCAAGAAAGTGTGTTAATGTGTTCAAATTCAATCTGTTTGGATAAAATGTTTTACTATACAACGAAGCATCTGATTTCCCGTATCTTTGTCATTCCAATGTGCACACCTATAAAAACACCTGTCTATATTATTGTACCCTTGAATTTGTTTGTGGTTGCAGTATTGCATGTTGGAAGGAGTTGTCAATTTAAGCTCATAATTTGTCTTTCATCTTTGTCATTTTCAGAAAAAAGCCATGGATCCGACAAGATTCACTAACAGAGGAGGGAATCTCCTCAAAGAGGAAAGACAGAGGTCTGAGCTGCACAAAAGCCTGCCCAAAGTAAGACGACAAGGCCAACTGTCACTGTTATTATTAGTACATATAAAGTGAAATTATCTTATCACTTTTAAGCATTTGACAGTAACTTGGTGTGTGTGTGTGTTTTTCTTTTTCAGCTTGAAAAAGCTTTAAAAGCACAGATTGATGCATGGGAAAATGATCAGGGTCGGGAGTTTCTGGTAAATGGCCAAAAGTTTCTGCAGTATGTGGAAGAACAGTGGGAGCTGCATCGAATAGAGAAAGAAAAGGAGAAACTAGAAAGGGTAAACACATGGCCTCACTCTCGCTCAGCCGGCATGTTTGTTGAGAAAGGTGTTGACACTTGTCTTTACATCCTCAAAACAGCACCTGAAGAAGAGCAGACAGACCGAGGAGGACATGTTGTACGGTACAGCAGTACGAACCCCAGCCAAACGCAGGTTCCCTGGCACTGCTACTCCAAGTAAATCTCGAAAGATGGTAAACTCGGTTTGTATTCATATTCTGTACACTCACCCACAGTCAACAAGCCTGCGCACACGTTCACGTCAATGTTCAGTGTGGCATCAGGCTCTAATGGTACTAGTGAGGATCCTCCTAAACCAAACTGCAAAATAAATGCAGAAAAAATCTTTTTCATCAACAACTGTGACACACAATATGCTTGGGCTTGTGGCTCCAAAGTGCAGCTCCACACAGAAGAAACTGTTACAAACCTGGTTGTCTCTTTTTACTAAACAAGAAAATCTACCATGTTACTTGCCTGAGGACACCGGTGTTATGACTCTAATCCAGAGGGTTGCAAAACAGTCACCTTTGTATTTTCTCTTTATTATTTTTTGCTTGTGCACAATAATGTTTGTGTGGTTCAGTAAATTCCTTCTGTTTGCTCATTGGCCTCTGTCACCACTAGTCCACTGCCTGTCTCTCACCAGTTCAATGCCACGGCCAGTATTTCCAGTGCCACCTCTAACAGCACCATGCGCTCGATCTATGGTGGAACCATCTGTCGCTCACCTGTGCCCCGCCCACCTCTGTCAGCAAACAAGGTTGGTTGACCTTTCAAGAAGGAAGCAGTACACACGTTTAACCTAAAGAGAAAGTAATGGACATGAAATTTGTTCAAAACATTTTGAGTGTAATCTTAATCTGACAGACATCATGTAAATGAAGCAGGAGCATATTGGGGCAGGCAGTTGACATTGAAGCTTATACTGTAATGTTTTCTTTTTCTGCTCTGTGGTAAAATATGAGCCATTTGCACAGCTGGGTTGCACCACAGCATGTGAACCAGGCAAAACATACACATAGGTGCTAAGATGTGTGTACACAACCATTTTCCTTCTTATTTGAGCAGAAATGTTTCTGTGTGTGTGTGTGTGTGTGTGTGTGTGTGTGCGCTGTATATGAACCAGTCAGTTCTTGTCCTGTACCAGGGTTTCTGTGGGTCCTTACAAAGTCTTCAGTTTAACCTGATGAAACCTGCACAGATCCTGTGTACTTGCTCAGATTTATCAGTTCATTGTGATGATTTGGGACACGAGGTGGGGTAGAGCTGATTCTGCTTGCCCACATTTATGTCTTCACTTAATTTAACTTTTAAAATTTGTTGTTAAAGAGGGTCATCAGTCCCTCCTGTCTGATGTGATTGTCTCTCCTGCTGTGTGTCCTTCAGGGTCCAGCAGCACGGACACCAGGTGGCTGTAAACACCCCCACCCACGACTACAAAGCTGTAACAAGGAGAACGAGGCCCAGTTGAAGGGGACCCCATTGAGCGGTGCGTTGCTGACCCCCACTAGTCAACAGCGTAACTTCAGCGTAGCCTCTGTTGCCAGCACATATTCAGAGTTTGTGGTAATGTACACTTTTGTCTCTACTTTCTTTGTTCGGCATCTTTTTACTCATCTTTGTGCATTAACTCATTGAAGTGCACTGTAGAAGTTTGATGTTCAGAATCCAAATGATGTAAATTTATATTTCAGAGGGAGTTGGTCAACCCTGATTCTGTTCAGTCAAGGTGTGTTTGGAGTTTTAAAAGCTTGTGTGGTGCTTACTCATTGCTTTCATCTTAATTGCATGCCTCTAATCCAAGGAAAGGTCTTTTTCGACAAGCAACTTAACACATCGTTTCAGCTTGAACAGGCTGCTGACACTTCCACACTGTCACAGCTCTGACAAAGCAGTTGCATCACTCTTACCCATCAGGATGCTGGATTAGATGATTTACTAGTTTGAGGTTTTTGCCATGGCAGTGGCGAGGTGGGGCGCCATGAAGAAATGTTACCAACGAAAACACCAGGGATGGGCGGTGATTTTTGAATATTCAAATAGTCATTTCATTTAAGAGAATCAAATACTTTTGATATGGTTTTGTCTCTAAAAACAAAAGGCACTGTTTTCCCTTGTTTTTACCAGCGCCTGGAAATAACACGATAATGAGGTCAGTAGACCATTTTACAACAGCGCCACATACAAGCAGCAGAGGCATTTTAGCTCAAAATGCCCATCCCTAGTAAACTCTGCACCAAAGTTTAATTAGAAATGTATTGTAGACTCAATAAACCTACTGTGAACATGTGATGAGTGACTGTTTTTGCCCCATCTACATTTATCTAAGAAGCAATTTCACACCTGATTTTCGAGGTCTGTCCATTCAACTCTTGGCAAAAGTAAAGTAAACTTGATTGTCCCCAATTGGAAATTTGTTTGGAACTGTAAAGTAGACCTTTACAGTTCAGGAATAAATGGCTCCACCAAAAACGAACAGCACTTCATAAGATTGCTTAATGCTGATGACTAATAATCCACACTAACAGACTTCACAGTGTGTCGTGTCCGAGTGATTAGAAAAGACATGCCTATTTACTTCTCTTCCTCGTATTAGACAGACCAGCCGTCAGTCTTAACGACTGCTCTTCTCTTTCCGCAGCGAGACCTGTCCAAGGCCTCTGACACCAAGATCCAGCACGGCATCCTGAACTCAACCACCACCAACCTCTGACCTCTACACTCTGGTGGCGGCTGCATCAGATATATCATAGTACTTCCAGTGTGGCTGGATCACTACCTTTCACTGCTCCCTGCTTTTATATGTCAATGAAGGTAATATATTGAGTGTTAAGTCGGTGATGAACAAGGGACAAAGAATCTGTTGTCAGCTGAGTCTTTGCCCCATCTGTCACTGTAAGAGGAAATGTATGCTTGTATCATAAGTTAAACTAACACTACTTTGGCTCACTGACTTTGCCAGTGGTAAATGTTGTTTGTATCTTCTACTGCACATTTTGTAAGAAACAAAATGAAAGTTTAGCTTTCTGAGGTTATGCAGTCTGGGGTTACAGGCTGAATGTATTGTAAATACTTTGCACTTTTTCTTTTTTCTTTTTTGAACAAATTTTAGAAAATATATTTTAGCTTATGGTATCATTTTTACACAGACTCACAGCTTTTTCCTAATCTTGTTTGTGTACATACTTCTCTCTGTTTGCTGGTGTCCTTACTGAAATGCTGCTGTGTGACAGGATGAAAGGGCTGTTAAATTATATATATTGGAGCTGTATAGATGTTTAAATCATTCAATACACTATCATGACTGATTTGGAAAGGCTTGTTAAAATATAGTAATGCAAAGCACAGAATGGCATACTGTGTTTACCATTCTCTCTTTCAAATGTATGAAGCTTGTACTGCAAAACAAAATATCCAAATTGTTCTCTTATATCAAGAAGCACAAATACTGTTAATTACCAAATACAGTTCAACCGTAAGACGTGCACATTCTGCAGCATCTCTGAAAGTCCCTACTCCAGCTTGTTCTTCAGCATTTTCACCAATCCAGCCAGATGTGTGTGAAGTCTGTCATGTGTGAAAGAATCTCATTCATCTGTTGACACAACAGTGTAGATTCCACAATAAAAGATGTGGTTTATGCATTCTCTCTGGTATTTTTGGAATGACAAATATCTGGTAAAATGAAATGAAACAATGTGTTGGAAACTGTACTTCCTGTCACAGCTTACCGACTTCATTTTAACCAGGTCTTACTGACTCAGCTGTTGCCAACAGAAATACAGTCTGTAATCCATGCCACTGCTCATGTTACTAAGTCTTTAAAGCAGGTGACTTTGGTGCTCTGATTCATTTACCAAGTGGAATGAAAGCCTTGAGAAATAGTTTTCAAGTATCTTTTGTCTTGGTACCTTGTACAGTGGCAGCCATGACTTCATTTTAGAAATAAGTACAGGTACTACAAGACACAATTACAAGTATGTGTTTTCTTTGCAATATTTTAGTTCCATTTGTGGTGAGATATAAGACTTTATATTTACTTTTCATGGCAAAAATTTCTAAAAGCAATTTCAGCCATGTAAAACAATGTCCAGCATAGAGAAGTGTATATAAAAAAAGTTAAGTTGTTTTAATATTTTATATAGACATTGTAAACATGATTATTTTACAATGACTACTTTTTTTGAGGCCAATACAGTAACAGTGTGAGAGTTTTAATAAAACTAGCACAAAAATCTTGATATGGAAATCTTTGATTATTTCAAGTAAATTGACAAAGCTCCATTCTGATCCCTGTAAAAATAAACATTAGTGCTCTGTGGCACACTGAACGTATTAATAGAAACAGTTTAAATTAATTGGCAATTTCTCATTTATAAGCAGTTGACAAACATTTAACAAATGACTTGCAACAGCGTTGTATGCAGCCATATGGACGTTTTAAGATCTATTAATATACGGTATTTGTCAATATTAGCTTTCCCTATGAAAACATGTTTACACCTACAAAAAAAGTTATAAATAACAAACAGCCTGCGTATTACTACATTGTAGTGTGTTATAAACATTTTTAATGTTTATATACTGGCTATAAGTACTAAACAGTAAGTGTGTGTGTGCGTGCGTGTGCGTGGCTATATCTTCTCATGGATAGTCCCCAAATTTTTTGATAGCTTAAAAATATTACTTATTGGGAAAATGTGGACAAGTTTGCAAGAGTAATAAAGTAATAGTGTAAAATAACATATCTGCCAAATGCAATTTGTTGCTTGGTTCTGAAATTTCTTTCATTAAAATTAAAGCAGCACAAAAATTCTTTCACTGTTTGGCCTAGCGATTACCCCGCTCCAAAATGGCGACGACAGAGACGAGTCGCACGCGCCGGATCCTGCATATATTATCCATGTGAAAACATTATCTCCGTCCGTGGAGGAACACATGCTGACCGCCCTTCAAGTCAGAGACACTGCACAGAAATAGGACGACGATGAAAAGCTGGACGTTTATCGTAATGTAAACAAACAAACAAACAAACAGCTTAGCCATGTCCGGAGCGTTAGCGAGGCTGCTCTTCTACCCGACGTTAGCCTACAATGTTGTGATGGAGAAGGTGTCGTCGAGACGGTGGTTTGACCGGGTGGACCAGACGGTGATCCTGGGAGCCCTGCCGTTCAGGTCCATGACCAAGCAGGTCAGACTCATGAGCCTCCCAGACGGTCTACAAGTCCACAGCTAAACTCGCCAGCAGTAGTGGGAGAAGTACTCTGATATTTGACCTTAATAAAACCAATAACACAGTTTTAAGCTAACAGTTCAGATCCAGCGGGGTCTTGTTGCTCAGGTTCTCTCGGTGTCAGCAGCTACCTTAATAAAATCAATAACACAGTTTTAAGTTAACAGTTCAGATCCAGCGGGGTCTTTTTGCTCAGGTTCTCTCGGTGTCAGCAGCAGAAGGACGTGCAGCTCTTTACCGCCGGGGTCCGACTCACTGAATTACTGCTCTAATGACACAATACCGATGTGCACTTAACTTTGATTGCTGAGTTATTATTGTAATATTATTCATTCTAGCTATGATTATAACTACTCTGGTCATATTTGGCGCACCTTTATATAATTACCTTTGGGTTGTCAGTTTATTAGGAACACCTCACT